CTGTCACCCTGGATAGAGTGCCTGGCATCATGCTCACAGCAACCTCCAACTCCTGGGCTCAAGCGAGTCTCCTGCCTCCGCCTCCCAAGTAGCTGGGACTACGGGCACTCGCCACAACGCCCAGCCATTTTTTGGTTGCAGCCGTCATTGTTGTTTGGAGGGCCCGGGCTGGGGATTCGAACCCGCCACCTTAGGTATATGTGGCTGGCACCTTAGCCGCTTGAGCCACAGGCGCCGAGCCAGGAATTTTTTTTTTTTAGATATAGAGTTTCACTCTGTCACCCAGGCTATAGCACCATGGCCTCAGCCCAATCTAGCTCACAGCAACCTCAAACTCCTGGGCTCACACAATCCTTGGTATCACCATTACAGATGAAGTTATACATACAACTTAATAAAACACTGTTTCTATGTAAGTGCCAATTATTATGGTTTTTGGGTTTTTTGAGACAGAGTCTCACTATGTCACCCTCAGTAGAGTGCTGTAGCATCACAGCTCACAGCAACCTCAAACTCTTGGGCTTACGAGATTCTCTTGCCTCAGCCTCCCGAGTAGCTGGGACTACAGGTGCCCACCACAACACCTGGCTATTTTTTTTGTTGTAGTTGTCATTGTTGTTTGGCAGGCCTGGGCTGGCACTTTAGCGGCTGAACTACAGGGGCGGAGCCAAGTGCCAAGTATTTCTATGCAAAGAGTGCTAGGATTATAGGAATGAGCTACCACATCCGGGTCATTTATTCCATCTTTTTGAAGGGTCTATGTAACCCCAATACTTTTTGATGGGCCCAAAAATAAAGACAAGTAGTTGCTTAGGGCAAAGAAGGCAAATTCACAGAAACCTCCAATGTAAACTTTTAAAGTTAATCCCAAATTATTAGTGATTTTTTGTGTATATTAAACATATTACTTTTTTTTTTTTTTTACTTTGTTTAATATAAACATTTAAAATATATAGTAGACTGGGCCCAGTGGCTCACCCCAATAATCCTAGCACTCTGGGAGGCCAAGATGGGTAGATACCTTGAGCTCAGGAGTTCAAGACCAGCCTGAGCAAGAGTACAACCTCATCTCTACTAAAAGGAGAAAAATTAGCTGGCCATTGTGGTAGATGCCTGTAGTACTGGCTAGTCAGGAGAGGCTGAGGCAAGAGGATCGCCTGAGCCCAACAGATTGAGGCTGCTGTGAGCTATGATGATGCCATGGCACTCTACCCAGGTCAACAGAGACTCTGTCTCAAAACAAACAAACAAAAGTGAAATAAAATATATAGTAATTTTATATCTGTTTTGCCACTTCCTTTTTTATATATACTTCTAACTTCTTTTTTCTATTTTATTTTGTTCTTTTTACATTTACTTCTCCATCTGTGAAATATATACTTGTAATCTCAAAAATCAAAGTGATCTAGGACTCTGCATCTCTGAAAAGTCTGTGCAGGACACTAGCATCCTTCCTTTTCTGTATCCTCAGGCAAGTGCAATGGTGGGCCTAGGAGTGGAACAAGCCTTAAACATTATTTTCTCCCAGCCCCTGCCCCTTATTTTGGACTCCTTTAAAGCACTGTCCAGCAGATTCTGAGCTAGAATGTTTTCCTTATGTTTATGTCTAGAACTGCCATTTTCCAAGGAGGCATGTACTTATGACTAGGAGGCTAGAATAAATCCTTTTTCCCCCGCCCTTGACATGTTGAGAGCCCTTTGACCCTGTCCTCCCTCACACTCCTGTCCTCCACTTCTCTCCTTCCACTTTCAGAAAGGGACACACAATGTCCTTCACGTTGCCGTGAGTTGTTATTTCTTCTGGTTGAAGCCTGTAGTGTCTGTGTTAATTTGTATATCTGGACCAGGCATGGTAGCTCACGTCTGTAATCCTAGCACTCCGGGAGACCAAGGTGGGTGGACTGCTTGAACTCAGGAGTTTGAGTCCAGCCTGAGCAAGAGTGAGACCCTGTCTCTAAAAAATAGCCAGGTGTTGTGGCAGGCACCTATAATCCCAGCTACTTAGGAGGCAAGAGGATCTCTTGAGCCCAAGAGTTTGAGGTTGCTGTGAGCTATGATGATGCCCCAAAACTCTACCCAGGGTGAGAAAGTAAGACTCTGTCTCAAAAAAAAAAAAAGTATATCTGTATACCACATTGTACCAACAAAGCACCATGTTCACTGGACACACTCAAATAATTTGCTGATAATGTCACA